CTACGGTAAAAACTTTAAAAAAATTTTTTTAACGTTTGTTTATTTCTGAGAGACAGACAAAGCGTGAGCAGGGGAGGGGCAGCAAGAGAGGGAGACACAGAATTCAAAGTGGGCTCCAGGCTCTGTGCTATCAGCAGAGCCTGACACAGGGCTTGAACTCACAAACCATGAGATCATGACCCGAGCCGAAGTTGGACGCTTAACTGACTGAGCCACGCAGGCACCCCTTTATTGTAAAAGCTTTAAATTAAAAACTTTAAATTAAAAGAACACCTAATGCAATTATCTCATAAAAAAAATAATAAGCTCTAAGATAATAAGCAAAAAGCCAAAGTAAGTCCTGTTTTTCAACTTAATATAAAAGCATTCACATATTTCAAAACATTTTCTTGTTCCAATAATAAGCACAAGATGTGAATATAAGCTATCACCATTCAAAATTAAAGATCTGAGTCATAAAATGTACCATTATAATTCAACTAATTAAAGTGAGTTTTATACTTTAAAAATTATCTTAATGTAATTGGATCATGTTAAGCATTAAAAATATATATCCTAAGTATCAACAGCTTATAGTAAAAGCTCACTAAATGAGACCAATGCAAGGCTACTAATCTACTTACTGAAAGGTTCATGTCATAAAACTATCTGTATACTCAGTCTTAAAAATTGGATTCCAATTAAATTAATTTTCCAAATTTAAAGTTTATTCTTGCAAAATTCTGGAAAATTTAATCATTTGGATTAGAAAATGTTTTCAAAATTAAGAGAGTTAATTAGGAGAAAATAAGATTAAAAGAAAGCAATAACTAAATTAAGATTGAAAGGATCATCATTAGGAACATCAGTCACTGTACAACTCAATAATGAAGTCTATGGGGCCAAATGTCTCCATCCTCATAGGCTAAGGACCACTTTTTATGGTTGTCAGCTATCACCTCTTGCTGCATATCAGTGGGCCAGGGCAATCTCCAGAATGGTTAAGAGTACAAGCTTTGGAATCAAATCACCTAATGGAATACTTGCTCCATCATTTAGTAGTTATGCGACCAAGTTACTTAACTTGATAATATTTTACTTAAATAATACATCAGCCAATAATACAGTAAAAGAAAAAGAAATTTTAGAATCATCTGTCATACAATCCTTAAGACCCCTGCAAATTTACCATCAATCTTATATAAATTTACCAAAAAAAAAGAGCTAAAGAGGCTGACAATTCAATTATTATGTTCCTTCAGTAAGCATTAAACATACTTGTTCCTAAAAGGATTGGGGTTCAGTATCATGGTTAATTATCATGGGATTCAAGAATGAAGACAGGAAACATTAAGCTATCTAATTTGCACTTATCTCCTCATTCTGGGTCCACGCTTCCTTCCTAGGAGAACAGGTAAAGCTAATAATAAAATACAACCAGTTGTACAAACTTACAAATTCTGCTGTCATTTCAGAGAATAACTAGTAAATAATGTTTGGTAGATCCCCAATTTAGCCGAAGAACAGTTTAGGAGTCAGATCCTTTATTCCAAGATTCTACAACAACATGGAGGAGCATCAACGAACAGAAGACATGGCTCCAAGCTGAACTCTGAAAGGGAAGTTAAGACAAACTACAGTGATAAAGTCTAAAAAGAGGAAGAAAAGGAAAAACTCAGACATTTGACGGCTTATCAGCACCTGAACAGTGGACAGCACTGCCAAAACCAGTATTTTCTCAATTCACCTCACCACCTTGCACCCAAAGCAGTACACCTGAACAAAATCCAGCAAAAAAGGTAACTTATAAAGCAGGATTTTTTCTAAAATAAATTTGCTAATAATATCACTTTCATTGCCTATCACCTTTAAGAAGTAATTTTTAAAGCATGAGTATTTCCTGAACAGAAAGAGAATCCTTGTCATTGCTGAAAATACCACAACACTGCCTAAAAAACACAACCAAGAAAATAAATTTCATATTAAGCATAAACAAAAACTTCCTTATGATGTAAATGGGTTGTTACCTAATTCATAATCCTACTTTCAACTGGTGAACATTCAATACTATATGTTTCTTTGGGGTATTCTTAAATTTCTAACTCCTACTTTGCTATCAGGCTATAAGCTGCTACTTTCCCAATGTCACCTTACCTGCCTTAGAATCCCATTTCTTTTCTTTCCCCTTCCTCCCTCATCCGCTTTAAGATGATAAAGCTAGCAAACAGTAAGACTTTAATAAAAAAATAGTATAAAAAAGGACCAAATCTGCTATGCAAAAATAGCCCACCCCTCCTGGGAGATGGGGCACCTACATTGCTTTATTTTTTGACAGCAATTTCAACCAATTTGGAAGTCTTTAGTCCAAAGGATTAAGTTACCAGTGTTCAACCTCTGGATTAGTGAGTGGACTGTTACCATGTGTGGACTGGGTCCTTACCTCCTTAGCGCTTCTAATGAGGCCAAGGTCACTGATTCAAACCATTATCTCAGATTGCAACTACAAAGACAATATACCTCGGTTTCCACCAGTGACAGAAAAAGGAATTACTGAGCTCCTGATACCCCATTAGGGAAGGAAACAACTAGACATCCTGAGTAAAGTCAGCAATTCCCTAAAACCCATCACTGGGACTAGGCCACTACATAGCACAAAAACTAAAAGGGGCCCTCCACTCCATGACCAATTAAATACAGACTTCTCAGTTCTGCCTTTAAGGCTTTTCAAAGGTAGCTTTATTTTCTATATTCTTGTATACAGACACCATTGCCTACCAACTTAGGCAATTTCCTATGCTCTTTTCCATAAATATTCCCTATAATTTGAACCTTTTTGGTGTAGTTTTCTCTACTAAAATAACCTACTAATCCTCGTAGCTATCAAACTTGTCTCAAATGTCACCTCTTAAAAGGCATGTGATTTTTACTTTGATTCCCAATACTGTTTTATTCGTATCTCTCATAACATATATCCTACCCTTGCCATACTTTTCCCATTTATTGAACTTCTATCCCAAGTCATTCCCTAAAATGCTTCAAGCAACCTACAAAGGTAGATATAAATACTACAAAATAAAATACATTATAAATAGGTGAAAAAACTGAAGCAAAGGACCAAAATTAGTAGGAGACTAATATATGGAGCCTGTTACCTATTATCTTTTTCTTTCATGTACATGTGTGTGTGTGTACACATATATGTATGTATAAACATATACTTATTCTTGAATGAATATGCCCTCCTTAAGGATAGAAACAGTGCTGTGTAAACACTTATTAAATTATATCCTTTCAAATACATAGGATATTTTGTAATCTAAGAATTTCAAAATGTCCTTTTAAAATGATATTCCTTTATACGTATATCCACACATATATGAACATATTCTCAAAATTTAAAAAGGCAAGTGAAGTGAAAAAAGGTACCAACATATAAAGGAATAAGTTAGTTTGATGGCACTTTAAATGTCAGTAAAATAATCAAATTACTCACATTTAGTGTCAATGACAGCACTAAGGCTTTTAACATTTCAAATAACTGCGTATGCCATTTCCCTTTTTGTAGAGACATAGGAGTGCTCAGAGGGATAGGAAGAAATAATTCCTCTTCTTTCCACTGCCTGGAAGAGACTGGCAATTGAATATATGAAAAGAAAGCAGGCAAAAGTCTCTATGATCACTAATGTGTTAAGAACCAATCCTAAAATATAAGTCCACATTCACTTGGATTTTTCACTACTAAGTATATTTGGGACACATCTGCTTTGGATTAGACACAGATGAACCCTATGAAAACATTAAATTGCCAAACATCCTACCTGAAGGTTATAACCACTTATCCTTCAGACCTTTAAAACTACAGCTATAGATAGATAATAGCCTTTCTGGGAAATTACGCTATTTTTGTCTGTTTGTTTTTCAAAAGAAAACACGAGAAGAGAAATATATTGTTTTGAGGGAACACAGGCTAGGAAAGTGAATACAGTATTTTTATAAACTGAGAAATCTGCTAACCAAAGGACTTCTGTACTGAATCATTTTATATTGAAAATCACTATTCTTCTAATGTATTTCCTTCATGCATTAACAAATAACAGAAAAAAAACATAATTTCCTCACTGGCCCGGCCTTTTCTGCTTCCAAGTGTACCCCACTACAATCCAAATTACAGATTTCTTTTATACTAATATAAATTAGCATAACTTGAAGGTGATTTAGTCAACAAGTGTTGAGGGCCAGATCACTCCCCAATTTAATCTTCAGTTACTTCCTATTAAGGCCAACTGTTACATTACCGATGTCCTGAATGTTTTTCTTATTTCTTCCCCTTTTTATTAATACTCTCTTGCCTGAAACGTTCTCCTTCAACCCAAAGCTTTCAAAAAGTCCACTCAAATAACTCTACAACCCTCACCCACCAAAGGTCAATTCTATCCCACCTGTAAACTTTGAATGCAATTTCCTATGTCATTTTCAAGACTAGAGTTCCAGTTGGTCTAAGAAACATTTTGTAGCACCATCTGAGAATTCACTTAGCCTCTCTGAACTTGTTCTTCCATCTATAAACCAAGAGTTGAACAAGATCACAAGATTTCCAGCTCCAAATTTCTGATTTGTTGATTTCAAATTTCATGTCATTTAAAAATGTTCTTTAGCTCTTATGTTGTCATATAATTTCTCCATGTATATGTCATATACACACCCTGAGGATAAGAACCATGTTTGATTACATCTTGTCAACACCATTACTATGGAATAATTTACATCTAGTACTTACTCAATAAATTGGTATTGAGTAACCTATCATTTGACAGGTTGGTGAAGGGGAAGCATAGAAAATCTAATATAACAGGCAAAGTAATATATCTGCGGAGAACTGAAACTTACTCCTGTATATCAGAATGGCCATGCATATAATGGTAATAGGATGGCAGAATATTTGGCAGTAATGATATCCCTATCCTGGATGTTTGGTGGGGGAGGGGCTCTGCACATGTCAATTCACTTATTCAACAAATATTTCAAAACATAACCATGAACCAGGCACTATCACATGCAGTGGGTAAAGTCTTTGCTCTCATGGAGGTTATATTCTTGAGTGCAAGAACAAGAGTAGCATCCCCGCTCACACGTCCAAGATCAAAATAAGAGTTTCTGAGGACTGAACAAGATAAGAAATATCTGCAGTTGCCAATGCCTTCCAATACATGAAAGCTGACTGAGAAAACAACGGTCAGAACAGCTCCATTCTGATCACATGCTACAAAGGCCAACAGAGCACAAAGGTTGTGAAAAGCACAAACTCTGGAAGGAAACCAGACTGCCTGGATTTAAATCCCAGCTCCCACTTACTAGCTATGTGACCCTGAATAAGTTCCATAATTATCTTATGCCTCAGTTTCTTCACCTGCAAAATGGGGATAATAATGGTACTTACAACCAATAAGACTGTTCTGAGAATTAAATAAGTTGACATGTCAAGTGCTTAAAACAGTGTTGCACGTAAGTACTGTAATTTCCAACTCTCCTACAACTATTACCACTACTCTTACTACTAAATTGTTACAATCTATGAACAAGCTAAAACCAGTACATAATACATAGTAGTAACTCAGTATTTAATCAACAACTAAATAAATGAATCAGAGACTCAGCTTCTTCCTCTGTGAAAACTGAACAAAAGCATCCTATCAACTTTAAGACTGCTAGGACTCAAGGGGATATAATCTATTTCAAAGTACTTTGTTAAAAACACTCACCCCCAAAATCATACAAGAGTAAGGTTTTAATACTATCACCAGCAGAAATGTATCATAGCCATATCACAGCAAAAATTTAGTGCTAGATTATTTAAGTTGTAAGCTTATACCTTCAAAGCATTCCTAACTAGTTAATATGCTGGTTATTACCACGTGAATGCACACTAAGAAAGCCTAATAACCAAAGAAATTAGGTAAGTAGATGAGCTGGCAGGGAATGAAGTCTCATCACAATCAGCAGTTTTATATCAATCCAACTAGAACTTACTCAAAAAAGGAATACTCAGACACGTACCCACGGTATTGTAAGTTCCCCAACCGGAGTGGTGAGTTAATATTACAAAAATAATCTAGGAGACCTGGAAAAATAAGATGCTATCACATCTATCTTAACTATGTGAAGTTCATAGTAACCCTTTACTCTATGGCTGCATGGAAGAGGAAGGACAATACCACCCATACCACAGTAGATCCACACCATGATCTAATCACAGTAAATCTTCTCCCCAGTCAACACCTGCTGATCACTGCACTACAACATCACATTCCACATCTTCCCTTCTGTTTTTAATTACCCCAGCCTTAAAAGTAAAGACCTCATCTCTTAATGCTGTTTTACTCCCATTTAATACCCATACATAATCAATTAATTTATTGCTAATTCTGATCACTGTCAAACCTTTCTCATCTCCTTTTACATAATCCATTACTTACCTGTTCAATAATAAGTAACCGTAATGACTGTAAGTAATATAGATCAGTTAGGAACTTTAAACGAGTAATTAACTTACTACTTACTAACCTGTTTAATTTTTTTAAAATGTTCTTAATACAAACAGATGACATTTTTATAAGTTCGATGTTTATATTTTCAACAGCTGAAACTGCACCAAAGGGCTTCCAACACAATACTTGGATACTATTTAAGAATCATTATACGCTGAGTAGATGAACCAGTCAAAAGTGGATAAAGAATACTGATAGTCTAACTTTGAAGTAAATCAGTTTTTCTTGGTCTTATTCCAGTTGGAAAACTTTTACTGGCATAAACAAAAGTAAATACAAAATAAGCATAAACATAAAACAAAATGCTTGTTTAAAGCAATAACTAAGCATTGCCTTTTTGGCTCAAAACACAGCAAAAAGTAATCAATTAATTCTGATTCATCTCTATTCAAGGAGGAAACAATGGTATCACATGATCATCCATACAGAACGTATTTACCTTTCAAATATACCATAATAGTGTTTTTAAAAAGTTGTCCTTCTCTTAATGCTAATTTGTTTCATTTATTCATTAAGCAAATTTTTACTAAGCATCCACCTGTTAAGCACTGAAATATACTTTGGATATATAATAGCAAATCAAACATCTCTGTCCATGAAGCTTAAAATCATCACATAATCACATATGCACAGAAAATCATTAAACTGTAATAAACACTATAAATAATCAAGGTACTATTAAAGAGTACTTACAAAAAACCTGAGTTTAGATTGTTATGTCAGAAAAGGCCTATCAAAAAGTGACAGTACACTTACTATGATGAGCACTGAGTAACACACAGAATTGCTAAATCACTATATTGTATACCTGAAACTAACACTGCATGTTACTTGTACTAGAAATAAAAAATTGTATAAAAAAAGTGACAGTTAAACTTTAAAAAAGAATGGAGGGAAGGTGACACAGGGGATGTTCAGGTTGAAGGAACAGTGTGTGCCTAACCCTAGAGGAAGAGTAAGAATGGATGGCAACTTGAGGAACTGAAAGAAGAAAACTGAAAGTCAGGGGGAAAGTGGCAATATATGCCGGCAAGAAGCAAAAGCAAAAAGTAATTACTTTCAAAGAAATGGGAAGGCTTTAAAGGGTGTTGGGTAAGTAAGTGATCTGAACAGATTTGTATTTTAAGAATATCATTCTGACTACAAGATATAATATTAGACAAACCCAAGAATGTATGCAAGAGGCTAGTGAGGAAGCTACTGCAGTACTTGAAAAGGTAAATATATTACCTTGTTATCTTAAATTTTTTTTTTCAACGTTTTTATTTATTTTTGGGACAGAGAGAGACACAGCATGAACGGGGGAGGGGCAGAGAGAGAGGGAGACACAGAATCGGAAACAGGCTCCAGGCTCTAAGCCATCAGCCCAGAGCCCGACGCGGGGCTCGAACTCACGGACCACGAGATCGTGACCTGGCTGAAGTCGGACGCTTAACCGACTGCGCCACCCAGGCGCCCCTATCTTGTTATCTTAGACAAGAGTTGTGGCAATGGTGGGGGAAGGGGATAAATTCAGGATATATTTTAAAGGTTATGGTAAGGATGTAGAGGGTGAGGGAAAGGGAGCTATCAAGAATGGCTCTCAAGTTTCTAAAGTGAAGAATTAGTAAGAAGTAATAATTATATTCTTAACAATAGAGAACTGAGGGTTGCTGGAGGGGTGTTAGGTGCGGGGATGGGCTAGATGGGTGATGGCATTAAGGAGAGCACTTGTTGAGATGAGCACTGGGTGTTGTACATAAGTGATGAATCACTAAATTCTACTGCAGAAACCATTATTACACTATATATTAACTAGAATTTAAATAAAAATTTACAACAAGCAAAAAAGAAATAATTATTAAAATGAAGATGACAGAGCAGAAAGAAATTTGAGAAGTTAGGTAATGAAGAAAGAGAGAAGTTTATGATCTGTTGAGAGGCCTATGAGAATACATGCAGAGCTGTTTTATGAAGGCAGATAACTGGATCATTCTAACATGCAATGAGAAGTGTGGGCTAGTGGTGCGCATTCAGAAACGGATAGCATACAGGCGGTATTAAAGCCATACAGCAGATGATTACTCAGGGAAAAGGCAGTAAGCGTGAAGAGGACTCAGAAATTCAAAGGAACTCCAACACTGAATCTGAGAGAATAGGTGAATCTGAAAGAGATTGAAAAAAAGTGGCCAGAAAGGTGGGAAGAAACTGTACCAGGGGATCGCTAAAAGCAAAGGAGAATGTTTCAAGAAAGGAAAAACAAGGCTCATCTAGGCGCAATGACACTGAAAATCCAAGTTATGATTTCCAGGTCAAACTGGTGAAGAAGAAAGAGTGGAAGGAAGGACACGTAAATATATGTGAGACTAGAAAAAAAAGTCAACCTAGATTCTAAAACTAATTACATAAAGCTCTTTAAAATAATGTAAACATGCTTTAAACTGTTTTCCCCTCATGTAATTTCTTTTAATGAGCCATGAAAGCATACTCTTACCATGACATATTCAATGCTAACACCATGGTGACGCAGCAAAAACCAACCAGCAGAGCTCTAACATTGCAGCATGCTTCTAATATTGCAGCACCACAACGGGTCATGCTTTGCATAGTTTCAAATTTTTAAATTCAACTTCCTATACAAGAAACAAAATCTACTTGTTTTGCAGTTCTACAAAGACTGAATTTAAATTATTAGGAAATTAAAATGGTTTTCCTGAAAAGATAACTTTCACACGATTTTCAAAAAAAACATACTAAAATTAATTCATTTAACACTTGAATGTCTTGCATGCCAGGCACACCAGTGTGATGACTTTAAACACTTTTTTTCTCACCAAGGGCTTATAGGTAAACGTCGGTATGTTCTACGGTAATTCTGTTACTGGTAGTAATACACAAATCAAAGAAGCCTGCCTATTTTCAGGTTTTCAGCCACTCTGATATATTTATGGGCATCTTGTTGGCTTTATTAGAAATACCAGGAGATTTTTAATTAGAAAAATTATTTTTACTATTAGCTGTTTTAGTATTATGTATGTAACCTGAGACAATCCCACCTCTCTAATAAACTAAGTAAGCTTCAGTTTATTCACCAGTAAAACAGAAAAAACTTAACTCACAAGGCTGTTGAATTGGCTTAACATGTTAATAAATATTAACTGAAGCTTATCCTAACATTTCTAATCACTTCTGTGAAGTGAAATACTGCGTTATATACTATTCTTATTTCTACTGGATATAAGCCAAGCAATTCGACTCTTAAAATTTATATACTCATAGATCAAATCTTGAAGCAATGACTTTATCAAAATTAGTATCATTTTTTACATTTAATTGTGCAGTATTCTACAGTTAAGACAGGTGCATAATGATAGTAAACACATCTATTTTATACTCCTTTTCTAAAAACACCGCTAAAATTCCAAAAAAAATGAATTTTTAAGATATAAAGACATAAGCCCATAAAAAATGACAGAACGGGTAAAAAGACAATAGCAACAAAAATTTGGAAGCTGGAAAGCAGATGGTTGAGTGACAAATGACTTAGCAAACACTCGAAAATCAAATCTTTAGCAAACAGTGGAGAAAGCCAAGAACAAACCCAATTTAAACTGTAAAATCCCCAAAAGACTCAGCAATTGGCAGTACCACGTACATCCGAAGTGGGATATGGGGGAGAGAGGGAGCTAAAATAAGGAAGACTGTTTAAAAGTCTGTTTAACAAGTAACCAGCCCCACTAATCCCAACTGCCCCCTCACCAATCCCAACAAAAAAACTGAAAATATGTTGTCTGGAAAATAGAAAACAAAATATTCCAAGTTTCAAAATATCAGGTACAGCTGTAGGCAAGAAAACATACTGAAAACAGGGTGATTGAAGAAATAAATATATATAGGGAAGCTGAGATTCTACCAAGACCTTTTACCCAACTCCCCTCCTATATCCCCCACAACCTGCACCTCCAGGCAAGAAAGAGCCTTCTACAGGACATCTAACCAGCTCAGAGGAAAGGCATGAAGATACTGACATCAAAAGTGCTCCAATCACACAGCCCAGCCTGGTTACCATAAAGTAAAGCTAACAAGTCTCACTGAGGATTTCTAATTAGCATTTTACTCCCCTACTCACACACAACCACCAACCAACTAAGGAAAGGCTACAGGACATGAAAGATAAAGACCAAAACAAATACAAACTAAAAAACAAACCAGGAGGACACAGGTCACACAGGGAGAAGAAATCTTTAAATAAATAAAAAAAAATAACATTTATATATTCAGACAGCTATGAGAAAGTACTATTGTTATTAGAACAGGATACGATTTAAAAGGGGCAAAGGCAAAAAAACAAAAAGCAAAGGCTTTGGGAAATTAAATATATGGTAATATAGAAAATTTAATAGAAGTAGAGCAAAAAAGAAAATGAGATAGAAAATAGGAAAGAAAATACAAGAAAATCAGAAGTCAAAAAGGTTCATTATCCTAATAAGGAATTTAAGGAAAAAAAAAAACAAAAACAGAAAATGGAAAGAAATAATCAAGACCTCATTCAAGAAAAAGTCCCAGAATTAAAAGATGTTCCCAGACTAAAAGGGCATACCAAGTACTCAGCAACACTGAGGGTAAAAAGAAACCTACCCAAGGAACCATCACTGTAAAATTTCAACACTGGAACACCGAAAACAGATTCAACCTTAAACGCTTTCAGAGAATTAAAGAATGAGAGAGGGCAAGAGAGAGAAGGGTAAACAAGTCAGAAAAAAAGGAAAAACAAAACATATATATACAGGTCACATACAATATATAAGAAATCAGAATGGCTTCAGACTTTTCAAAAGGAATATGGAAGTTAGAAAGCAATGGAGCAAAATTATAAAATAATACAATTTTACAATGTAGTATTCTTTACCTAACCAAACCACCTTAAGTGTCAGGGTAAACTAAAATCATTTTTTCTTTTAAAGATTTTAGCTTTAAGGAATCTCTGCACCCAACATGGGGCTCAAACTCATAATCCTGAGATCAAGAGTTGTGTGCTCTACCAACTAAACCAGCCAGGCACTCCTTAAAAAATTTTTTTTTTTTTTTTTTTTTTAAGTAATCTCTACCCCAATGTGGGGCTCAAACTCATGACTCTGAAATCAAGAATCTCATGCTCTACTGACTGAGCCAGCCAGACACCCCTAAAACCATTTTAAAACATCAAGTAAGCCAAGAATGAAAATGACAAGGATCACTGCAAAATGAAATCCAAACACAGGAGAAAGTGAAGGGAATCCCACAATAATGGATGTGTACCAAGGTGTAGAACACAATTAGGTCCAAAATGGAGGTCAGAGGAATATAAGAAACTGCCTAAGGAAGATAAAATTGATAACACCTGATATGTCTGAACATCTCAAGAGACATTTGATGCAATGTTGAATTAGTGATAATTACAGAAAAAACTAAGCCCGGGGTGGGGCAGAGGCATTGAACTTCAGCCAGATCACCCTATGGTAAAACAGTCAATAAGTCACACTGAGACCAGATAAGCTCTTTAGTCTCCTAAAGTGCAAGCAGGTGACCAAGAATTACCAGACCTCTGAGGAAAGGCTCTATCACAAAAGGCAAAGCAAAAATGGGTAGAAAGGCATACAAAAATGGGGGAAACGGAATTTGGAAGAAACAGAAAACTTATCCTAAGTAGCATATAGAAATATATATACTATATATTCTAGTATATTACATGTACTAGGATAGCTGGGATGGAGTGGAAGGAGGTAGGCAAGTGCAGTACATTGTACAGGACATGAAGAGTGATATTTAATAAGAATACTAAATGATCAACAATGATGTAATCATAGCTATTCAGAGGAAAGGGTACTTGGAGGAAGGGGGATCAGCTGAGTAGGTGATAAAGTTAAATTTTCATTTTCTATCCAGAAGTTCAAAAAGCCAAAACACAAACACAAAGTATTTTATTTAACACAAACTATGTAGGGCATGTGAGTTAGACACAGTTCTAAGGGCTTTCCAAATTCATTTCCTATAACAACCCTGAGGTAGGTACTGCTATCCCCATTTATTGAAATGAGCAACATGAGGCATAGAGAGGTTAAGTAGCCCAATGTTACATAAAACTAGGTTCAAACCTAAATAGTCTTGTTCCAGAATCTATGCTCCTAACCATCTAGCCATTTACATATCGAGTAGCAATACAAGCATGTTGTTTACAACTAGGAGGTAAACATAACAATCATCTGAAAGAGATAAAAGTGACTGCTTTGGGGAATGGAAACACGGAAAGGAAGGGGGCAGGAAGCTTTTGCTTGTTTGATAACCATGTAAATTATTTGACTCTTTAAGTTGTGGAGGTACAATCTAAATAAAATTAAAATGTACAATTTAGTACTTTTATTTTATCTAATGCTGCCATCCTCAGAAGTAGGCAAAATGAGTATTACTCCTATTTCATAGATAAGAAAACTTTCATTCCTCTTTAATAAATATTTGAGGGCCTACTATATAACATGCACTGTATTTAAAAAATAGATATCAATTCACCTCAAATAATGATGAGGTGAAAGAGGTACAAAAAGTCTTTTTATTCTTTTCTCTTCAATTTATTGCATAACTTATATGATCCTGTATCTCTAACAGCTGTGCTTAAGACAAGGGATAATATAAATTGTAAATTGTGACAGAAAAAAAGAGTAAGGTCTGCTCATTAATCTGTCCAAAAAATATTTAGTTCTTGTCCTTGAGGAACTCAGTGTCTTACGTGGAACATAATTATAATTGAACGTGTGCAGTGCGTTCAATAGAGGAGCACTACAAAGTGTTAAGGAAACATTCCCTGGGTGAAGACACTGCTTCAGAGGGAACATTTCTGAACGGAGTCTTGAAGGATGAACAGAAGTTTGACCAATTTCACACAAGAGGCTGTACTAATAGTTGCAAAACACAAAAGACTACAGACCAGTGTGGAATACCTACACCGCCACTGTGTTATAAAGGTGACTTCATATTAAAGGCTAAAATAAGACATTAAGATTTTTTCAAGGAGCTTTAAAAAAAAAGATACATAATCTTAATGCCTGATCCATGTTTCTAAGTTTTAGTGTTGCCCCGTGATCAACTGAAATCATCTTCCACATGTCTAATAAACATTTTAAATTTCAAAGTGTTAAGAGTATTATCTCAAAAGAAGACTAAAGAACAACCACCTTTCATTTGTCTTACCACCAAAAAGTTTCACTGTTAACATGGTTTTTAAGTCATAATATTGAAATTATAATGTACCCCTTTCTCCCATGAGACAGAAATTGGTGACCAAGCCCCAGACAATGCAAGTGACATGGAAGCTATCATGGGAAGAAAAAGTAGAAAGAATTTTTTTTAATCGTTATCACTTTTCTCTTGTAGATAGTCTCAAATTTCCTTCCAAGGGCAAACTTAAATGAAACTTTTCTTTTTCCAAACTTTAGTGATAAAAGAAGTAATTTGCAGTAAAACACCGTAAAGAAAATAATATGCATGTGGTCCTTTTTGACCTTTATAGGTATTTTAGGGGTGAAACATTTTAATTTTTTAGCATTTAAAGGATGCCTCTGAATCAAAAATTTTCTGGTTTTGATGACTTAACTTTGATGTTAACTAACAAAGGATCAAAAACGTAGTAAATTCGAAACAGGTAGCGTCAACTCAACTTACTTTATGCCAGTACTTGATCATACTTCTCAGTATCTCTTTTTGTCCCTTAAATTCCAAACCTTTCTACATAATTTGTCCCTAAATGATCTTCATCTCAGTTACTATATGGAAAAATTAATTTTGTACTAAACATCTTAAATTGGGCCTCTATCCCTACAATTAAAAAACCTAACTGTAAGTAGCAACATCTGACTTTAATTGCCTGGAAAAGCAAGTTGTGGAAAGCTCTATCATGCCCTACCACCAGGGGAGAAAAAGGAGAAAGTCATGTCAGGAGACCACAAATGGTAATTAACAAAAATCATGGCAGGTTTCAATTCAAAATGTGTGGTTTTCATTTGTGCATTTCATCTGTCTTTTATTTCTCTGAATTTAGTATCCACATAATATACCTGTTTTTTTAGGGGTTTCACTCGATCATGCCTCTTAGACTCAGAAAACATTAATATTTGGGGTAAATAGTTCTTTAAAATTATGAATATTAGCAATTACAGATAAATATTAGCATATGAAACAAACTTTTATCGATGATTATAATGACTATTAAGGAAACTACCGCCCTAAAAGAGCTCTACCTTTTAAGGACAGTTTTGTACACAAGATACAGATTACATTTGGTTCGGTAACAAGGTTTTAATTATATGATTACTGGAAAAATTACAAAAATCTTGAAAGACAAGATTTTAAATTATTTCAATTAACCATCCCTTTGCCTTACATCTGTAAAGTAACTTAAAAATGTTTATCATGAAAACCTCACTGCAACATTTGGTCTTTGTTCTTTTTCTAAAACTGTAATTCTTTTGGAATACCCTCAATTTTTCCAAAGTGAAAACCAAAAATACACATTTAGAATATAAATTTCCAATTAGCTTGGTGAAAGTTCAATCACAAAAATCTCCAACTAATACTAAAATAATTAAATATCTTTAGAGCTTATTCAGAGTTCCACAGTTAAAATGAATAGCCTTTGTCATTAACTCCTATGATACTATTTTGATCAAGGTTAGTCACAGACCAGCAAATCTGTGAAAAGAACATTCCTTTAAAATTCAACTTAGTTTAAAGCAATGTAGAATCATTAGAGATTTCACAACTTTTGCAGTCAGCTTCAAAGACACAATTGGAATCAATAGCGTATTTAAAGCATTATTTCCAATTCAAGTAAGAAAACACTAGTGGCTTAATAATGTATTTTGACTATGTTTTTATTCTTTTCTTTTTTTTTTTCTGGCAACGAAGGGAACAGGTGGAGTAGATTAGCAGGGGAGCAAAGTCTTATGTTCATGCGTCTATAAATTCAACCCTCCAAGACTTTTCCTACTCTTTAAAATGGCTACCACCTTGATCTATACAAAAGAAAAAAAACGTACAGGACACTACTATCAAAGATAAATTTGGTTATTTTGACAGTGTTTACCCTCCTGCCCCCCCAACATACTTTTTAAGATTCCCATTCCTGTTCTGTTCAGATAAAATGACCATTAAATAAGTACACAAAAGTTGGTTAATTACAGTCTGTGAGGGCAACCTATAAAACCGAGACTAGGTCATCTTTCCTACAATGTCTAAGAAAAGCACGTAACATTATCTTCCACAGACTAAGATCAAACACAGTAGAAGTGAAAAGGATTGCCCAACCTAGCAAAGGAGAAACAACCGTGGGAACCACAACCCCCATTCAAGAGATGCTCATAAGGATTTAGTAATTCAAGTGAATAGATTAAATATTATATGGCTTAGCAAAAATTTTGTTAGTAATCTTTTCAAAAAGCATTTTATAAATAACAAAAGCCATTTGGTGCCCCTAAACCTATACTTAATATTCAATAACTACTGCCAAGTAGTTTACATATTACTTACATCCATTTGCTATCCACTCTGAAACCATTCCATAACACTCTTGCTCTAGGAAACTTACCACAAAAATGCATTTTCACATACAAAAATGGAAAAATATGTAATGCTTTCGACAAATCTTGTGCATCTACACAGCTACTAAATAAATTAACTCTGAATTTGTTGAATGTCTGCAGAAACATGGCATGATCTTACCTCTCATCCTCGTCATCCACCAGGGGTGTCGTCAGCGGTAGCACCTTCAACGGGAAAAGAGAAGCAGGGGCTGCTAGGCTGCTGCTACTCCCATCTGAAACTGCTGACATTCCCCCACTGTCACCACTGATAGTCTGAGGTAAGCCAACTAAGGAGGGTTCCGCTGGGCGCCTGGCATCTTCAATTTGGCTTCCAATTGCCTGAGCTAATGATTGTGCAGTGAACTGAGTAGAACTTAGTGGTATCTGTTGTGCCAAAGGCAGATTTATGTTACTGGCTATCAAGGGAGGTTGACTAACACTTTGAACCAAATTACCATTTTGAGTGGCAGGGGTTTGTGCTATATTCTGTGGTGGAACCAAGTTTGTTGGGGCAGAAGGCATTCCAGAAGGACCAGTTGAACTAACCTGACTTGTAACAGAAATACTACTAGCAGAGGGCAAAGGACTAACTGCAGGCAACGGCTGCGAAACAACTTGAGCTACCGATTCTACTCCTTGTGGCTGGGGAGGCACAGTTAACAAGGTACTCTGGGGTGCAATGACCAATTGTTGAGGAAGGCTTGACGCACTAGTTTGAACTCCCTGATGAATAATCGCAGTTTGAGCAGGTGGAACTATTTGTGAAGATGGAGGAGCACCTTGCTGAATAACCGAAGGTGTGACTTGGGTAGAGGGCTGCTGCACTGCAGTAGGTATGTTTGCTTGTTGACCGATATTTGCAATTTGACTGCCAGTAGGTACAACAGATACTGCTGTTTGAGCCTGGCCAACAGGCTGGCCAGATGCCCCTGCAGGTTGTGCTTGGATTGCCGAGGGCTGCACTGGCAGCTGGATACTCTGTGGCTGAGCCGTAGGAATCACTGTCGCTCCTGCTCCCACTCCTGCAGAACTGGGCTGTCCGGAGGACACTGCTGTTTGAAGAATCGGCTGCTGCTGCACATACTCTGAAGGATTCTGAGCCACAGATTTACCATGGCCTGGGACCATCTGGGTAGAGACAGTCGGCTGCTGTTGTCCATACTGTAACTGTTGGGGTGGTGCTCCTGGAAGGGGAGCTTGCACTGGAGGAACCGTCTGAGAATACGGTAGTTGGGGTTGAGCCAGACTGGAAATGGAAGGCTGCTGACCTAAAGCTGAAGTTACACCAACCACACTAACAGGTGACGGCTGGATACCAGTTGCAGCGCTGATAGTGGCCTGTAGAGGTACTGGCTGAAGACCTTGCTTTTGAGGATAGCTCAGTTCTTGAGACTGTAATTGTACTTGCGTGATCTGTGACTGAGAAATACTCTGTGGAATGCTAACTGCTGAAATACTCTGGGGACCAGTGCTACTGAAATCCATCTGGGGAAGAGCCATACCTTGAAGAGCTGGTTGCTGCTGCTGCACCACCACAGTAGGGGCTCCCATCTCTCCGCTTCCCACACTCTCCGTGTAGTGACTCAGTGTGCTGACACTACTGCTCACTGAACTCCCACTAGTGCTCTCCCTCTCCGAAGTCACTTCTGTCGGGTTCTGTTTTACAGTTTCCACCACTTTATTTATCGCCACACCTTCTGCAGCAGGTACAGCATTTTCTTTTTCATAGAACTCGGTGCAAGTCCATCTGCCTTTTTTAAAGGGCTCAGAACTAGAATCTAACTTCACAACTCTGAACCTTGACGTGTTAACTGTTGGTGGCTGCTGCTGACCCGAAAGGGACCCCGCAGTCATCCCTGCAGCGGCACTGGGGGCACTGTTAACAACAGCGGAGGAAGATATAGTACCATTGCCCATGCCACTCAAGATATTCACATTAACACTGCTGCTAACTCCAGGCCCAACACTCACAGTAGCAGCACTAGGAATATTGCTTGCATTTATATTAGCATTACCAAGTATGCTGCTTGTCACACTAGGATTAAAACTACCCACGGCAGTAATGTTGACATTACTCATTGTATTAGTGCCAGTAACAGAACTTATACCTATACTGCCAGTAGTACTTGGAGCACGGATATTAGTCATTACAGATGCAGGTGAGCCACCCGATGATACAGCAGAAGTTGGGGCCGCTGCTAGAACACTGTCAGAGCTTCCAGCTGCAGAGAGTTTTCTGGATACTGGACTGGAGGGCGGCCCTCCAGGAATGGATGTACTGGCCACACCAGCATGGGATGGATGGTGGTGCCCATGGTGTAGGTGGTGCCCATGATGGATGTGATGGTGGTGATGGAGGTGGTGTGGATGAGCATTCCCATTGATCACAACGTTCTGTTGTGGAAGGTGAGGCAAATGTGGCTGCGGAAGGTGGGGCTGGTTGGGAGAGACTGCCCCAGGTGTCTCAGCTTCCTGGAAGTTATTCAGAGTCTCTTCTGAGGAGCTGCGTTCAGGCTCCCCTAAGTCAGTAGCCCTGGAAAGTGACACATCAAGGATCTCGGAAGAAGACAGATCTTCCGTGTGAGACTCATCCAGGTCATCATAGCTCTCGGTGTCCTCTGCGATACTGTTGTTAGAGCTGATGCTGGCGGAGATCTGAGCCGGGGTAACGCTAGTTATCTGGAAGCCACTTTTCTTTTTCATTTGAGTTCCGCCTGGCGCAAGAGGCTGTGCCTGCAGCTGAGCCTGAGAGAGGAGGTTCAGGCTTTGTGGAGGCGGAGGCTGTGGTCCCGACGTAGAAGATGCTGCAGGAGGTGGCGGCTGGAGCAGCGACGGAGGCGGAAAATCCTCGGAAGATGTGGCACTACTACCAACGCCGGTACCTGCTGCATTGAGAGCAGAGGCGCTGCCACTACCGCTGCCCCTTCTAGGGAACATTGCCGGGTGCGCCATCTTCCTAGCACTAATGTCTGCAGCGGCCGCGGCCGCCGCGGCGGTGGACTCAGGCGGCTGGTGCATTGTGTCGGGTACCGGGGGGCGGAGGAGGCGAGTGCAATTTCCTTCTGCACCGTAATCTTTGTATTCAAGACGCCGGGGAGGAAAACGGGACCTGACGCTCCGCCCGGCGCGGTTCCTCCTTCTCCTCCTCAGCCGAAGGCGCCGGCCGCTCCTGCCTTCGAGGGCGAGCTTCGGGAAGGGAGGATGAACGAGGGTGAACAGGGCGGCCAGGGACCCGAAGGGGGGACCCCTTCAGTCCTTCGCCATTCACTTTCCCCTCTAGTCTCACACCCCCCTTTATATTCCGCTTCACGTGGGGTGCGGGGCAGGAGGGAGGGGAAGACAAGGCAAGGGGGGAGACAAGTGGAGGGGGTGGGAAAACCGAGAAATGCCCACCTTCTCCCGACAACTCAAAAGCCACCTCAACCCCTCCTCCCGCCGCGGCGGCGGCGGCGGCGGCCGCTGCA